CAATGATAGTGCCTATTTTGTTCTGCAGGAAACAATGATTCCCTTCAAATGTTCTTGTGAATACTGCCTTTCAATTTTCAATTTAGAAAGATGAACTTCTAGACAATGCCTCAAAAATTAATTCTACTTGGAGGATAAATGTGAGAACAGTAGTACAGCAAAAGTTTGAGGAGAGAAAGAAAGGTGGAATAAAATGTAGTAATGTGGGATTTCTTCCATCAAAAGGGAATTATGAGATATCTACATTAAGGGGTCAAAATAAAATTTTAAAGATATCATTTAAAACTGTCAATTACAGGGACGTCCTGCTTGGCAGTATAGTCCAGTTTTTCAGAACATAAATTCTGCAACCAGATACCTAGGTTTGAATTTTTATTCCACAGTTCTACTTGGAAGAATTGCTTAATTGTGTCGTGGTGTTTTTTTAATAAAAAAATGAGAATAAAAATGCAACTCACAAAGTTGTTCTGAAAATAAAAATTAGAATGATGTATGACACATTAAAAGAGCTACATGAATGTTTTCAATGATGATACCAAAGGAAGAGTAGCAGATCTATGTCTGCCTTCTTTTTTTCACGTAATAATTTGGAGATTCACCACATTATTGTGTACAACGATACATTCTTCATGTGATAAACCATAATTAACATACTCACCTGCTGATGAAGTTTTTCCAGGTTTTTTTTGACTACTAAAGATAGAGTTCCAGTGGACATTGACATGCCAGGCTTTATATGAGCATGAAATTTTATTTCTCTTATATTCGGGTACAAATCCTTGATCAAGTATATGATGTACAAATATTTTTTCTCAGTCTTATTATTCCCTTAACAGTGTCTTCTAATGAATGGGCATTTTTATTTTTTATGATTTGCAATTTTAATCTTTTTTCTTTCATGGGTTATGTTGTGATTTTTAAGTTTACAAAATCTTTGCTATAGTCATAAAGATTTTCTCTTAAAGTTATAGCCTTGGGTCTGTGATAAATTTAATCCTAAATTATGACTAGATGCATTAAACAAAATTATTTGGCATGTGTATTTAATTGTCCCAGCACCATTTGTTGAAAGACTATCCTTTATTTGCTGAATTGCCTCTGTATTTTTGTTAAGTATCATGTTTTGAAATATATGTGGGTCTACATATGGTATCTATTCTATTTAATTGATATGTTTATTTTGATTCTAACACTACACACCTGATTATTCATATTAGAAGTCTTGGAAACAATGTTATTTCTTGTTCTTTTTCAATGTTTTGGCTATTATTGGACCTTTGCACGTCACAGGAATATTGCTTCCTTTCATTTAAGCCTTTAGTTTTTCTCAGCAGTGTTGTTATTTTCAGTGAACAGATCTTGTGTATATTTGTTAGATGTATTCTTCTGTATCTATTATAATTATTTTAAAATTTTTATTTTCCAACTATTTGATAATAGATAAATAAGTTAATTTTTACATATTGATCATTCATTCTATAATCTTGCTAACTCACCTACCAGCTGTACATAGCTTTATTTTAATAGACTATCAATTTTCCTACATCAATAATCACATCATTAGTATAGAACGATAGTTTTATCTCTTATTACCAAAATTGTTTTTCCTTTCCTTCTGTGGTTGCACTGGCAAGTCTTAATACAATGTTGAATTTGAAGTTTGAGAATTAACATCCATGTTTTGCTCTCTTTTGAAAGGAGAGGATTCAGTATTTTACCTTTAAATAGGGAATTGGCCTCCCTTCTTGCAGAAACACTCTACTGTGTTGAGGAAGTTTCCATTTCTTTAGTTTAGTATCAGTTTTCATCAGGATTACTACTGATTTTGTCAAAAAAATTTCTGAATGTACTAATATAATAATATGGTTTTTATTTTTGCATTTGTTAAAATAGTAAGTTGCATGGACTTTTAAATGTTCAACCAATTGCACACTCTTTAAATAAATCTCCTTTACTCATTATGCATTATTATTTTTATGTATTATTGGATTCAATTTCATAACATGGTAAAATCTCGATTGCAAATAACTTGTTCCACAAGGTGAACAAACATTTCTAATGTATTTTAACTTGACAAACAAGTGATGTCTTGCAATATGAGTAGTAGATGAAACTGAACATCACATGATCACAGCTGAGCCAGTGGCTCTGACTCTCTCTCTCTCTCTCTCTCTCTCTCTTTGTGGAATTGTGGGTGATCATTTGCCAACAGCAAGAGGTCATGGAAGAGATCTGATCTGCAGAACAGACAGAGAGGAAAGTGGAGGAATCCCTCACTTCAAATGAGATAAAGAAGATGTGTATAATATGAAAAACACTGCAAAATTTTTTAGAAAAGCACCACTGAATAAGGCTGTGGCAGTGTGAGTGATGAATCTCTTTAATGACAATGCAAGGTCATATTTCTGTGAAATTCTCAAAAGGAGACAAAAGCAAGTGTCATTGGATACGGTCCTTTTAAAGGTGCATGGAAAGAAAAAAATTCTGTTAAACCAACAGACAGCAAGTATTAGCGGCAGTGAAAGTCATCTTGCACTTCTCTCTCTTGTTTCCTTCACATCAGCCACAGAGATTTTCGGAGATAAGTGGGGGATATTTGAATTTTCTTTATTTTTGTATTTCATTCATTATTTGTCTTATAGTACAGTATTATAATCATTCTATAGGAATACAGTATTTTCAGGTGTGGAACAAATTAACTAAGTTTCCATTATTTCTTGTGGGGAAATTCGCTTTGATATACAAATGCTTTGTATTACGAGTATGTTTCCCGAAAGAAATTATGCTCCCAAAACAAGGTTTTATAGCATATTGTTTTAAATTTTTTAATATATATTTGTGAAATATATTGGTCTGCAGCTTTGTTTCTTTTTATGTGCTTGTCTTGTTAGTGCCCAAGCATCTAGCTGGTATCAGAATAATTCTGGCCAAGTAATTCCAGCCTCACTATATGTAATGAATTGGGAAGCATTTCCCTCTCTTCCTTTTTTGAAATATTTTGTGATAATTGATATCATGTCTTCTTTAAATATTTGATAGAATTCTCCAATGAAATTATCTAAATTTGTAGTTTTTCTTTGTGAAAAAGTTTTTTTTTTTTATCTACAAATCCAATTCTTTCATAGGTATAGGATTGTTCATTATCTATTCCATTTTAAATGAGCTTTGGTCATTTATGTTTTTCAAGAAGTTAATTTCACCTAAATTAGCATTTATTTTGAGATAAAGTTGCTCATTGTGTACTATTTATTTGTATGTGTTTGCAGTATACAATGTTTACATTTCTCGTGTAGAATCAGTACAAGTACATAACATGCCTTAATCCCCTTTCTTGTCTCCTTCCCTCCTCTCCCTATTAATGCACACCAGATCTGTGGCAATCTCTTCTGTTTTACCTCTGACATTGGTTAATATCTGCCTTACCTTTTTTCCCCTCCCCAATCAGTCTGGCTAGAAGCTTGTCATGTGTCTTGATCTTAGTAAGCTTCTGGCATCAGTGATTTTTCTCTACTGTTTTCCGAAGACACATCCCATTGACTGTCACTTGGGATCCTTATTATGTTCTTTTTCTCCTTGAGTTTCATTTTGTCTTTCTCTGGTTTCTTAAAGGAAGCTGATGTCTTTAGGAAATTTTTTCTTTTCTATTAAAAACATTTAATAGTATGACTTTCATCCTTAAACGCTGTGAACTTCCTTTATGGCCTCCCACAGATGTTGATGTTCTTTTTTCATTTCAGTTGGTTCAAAACCTATTTTTTAATATTATGTTTGATTTCTTTTTTATGTATCAGTGTTTAGAATTATGTTGTTTTGTTTGCAAAAACCTGAGAATTTTCCAGAGAACTTTATGTTACTAATTCTAATTTAATTCCATTAATAGCATTCCTACTTTTTTTTGTCTTTTTGAGACAGGGTCTCTCTATGCAGTTTAGGCTGGCCTTGAGCTCACTTTGTAGCCTAGGCTGGCCTCGAACTCACAACAATCCTCCTGCCTCACCCTCCCAAGTGCTGGGATTACAGGCATGAGCCACCACACCTGGCTCATTCCTACTTTCTTAGACTTGAATTCGTTTGCGTTTATTGCATTATATTTTAGGGTCTAAAATATGAAGTATCTTTGTTAACAATCCATATGCATTTAAGAAGAATGTGTATATAGCTACCATAGGATGTTTTTACTAAAACTGGTAGATAGTTTTGTTCTTCTATATCTTTACTGAATTTCCTCTCCACTACAGATTATCAAGGAGATACTCACATTTTCATCTATGGTTGTAGATCAATCTATTGCTCTTTGTGGTTCTATGTTTTTTCATGTATTTTGAATTTGTTTTATGAAATATGTAAACATTTAGGACTGCTATGTAGTCTTGATGAATTTATCCTTTTTCAATATAAGATGACTTTGTTAATCCTTGGTGATATTATTTGTTCTGATATGTACTTTCTTCTTCCTGCTGACTAACATGTTTGGGTCACCATAACAAAATGGCAGAGGCCGAGTGGCTTAAATAATAGAAATATAATTTCTCACAGTTCTGGAGTCTGGAAGTCTAAGATCGAGGTGCCAGCCAAGTTGGTGTTTGGTGGGCCTTCTTGGCTTCCTTCTCGCTGAGTCCTCACCTGGCCTTTTCTGTGCATGCAGGGAGAGAGCAAGGAAAGCGGGGGCTTATGCTATTTCTTGTTCTTCTTATAAGGATACCAATCCTACTAGATTAGGGGTGAGGGTTCTCACCTTTACGATCACATTTAACTTTGTCTCCTTACGTCCCTCTTTCCCATATGGTCACAGCCTGAGTTAGGGCTTCAATATATGAATTTTACTGGGATAAAATTCTGCTTTTAATGCTATAGTATAACTTTTCTATAATTTTACATTTAAATTACTCTATTTTTATATATAACTTATATTTTTATAGGGATAACATAGTCATTGCCTCAAGGTTTACATATATATCTAATATATATACATATATATTACATTATATATATTTTAGGTAGTTTCTCTTGCTATGTTTTTAGGCTCACAGCTTTTTTTCTGTGGGTTTTAACCTGCTGTTAATGTCATTCAGTTTAATTTTTAAGGTATCAAACATATTTTTTCATTTCTAGAAGTTTAGTTTGTATCTTTCTAATATCTTCCATAGCTCTATTTAACTTTGAAAATATATGATATACAACAGTGGCTGTTTAATATTCTCGTCAACTCTTTTTTTAAATTTTATTTTAAAGAGGATAAAACCAAGAAAAATAAAACATAATAAGGCCAATCAAAACAAAACAATGAAAGTGATGCAAGACTTCAAAACAAGATAATAGGAAATCAACAATGACTACCATCTTATTATCTTCAAATAGCTGCTGATACCATCAGACATAATCAAATCAAATCAAACAAAACAAAACAGAATAAAACCAAACCAAACAAAACAAAACAATGAAAATGATACAGGATTTCAAAATAAGATAATAGGAAATTAACAATGACTACCATAATGCCTCTTGTTATCTTCAAAGTAGTTGTCCAGACCCTCAGACATAGGCATGTAAAATTAACCAGACTATACAAGAACTAAGTTGTTGCTTTAATTCAATTCTCATTTTTTCAGAAATTTCAGGTGTGAGGCTTCTAATTTCTACTATGTCTGTGTCTGCTGAACTTGTTGTGTGTGGACCGGAGATCTGAGATTGTATTTTACTTCTGCATCTTGACTATCCTTGTCAGTTTTAACATCTGCTTCAGATTTAGTTGGTTTCAGTTCATTGATATTTTTACCAGTCATATTTTTCTGTTTCTTTGTTTTCCTAAGAATTTCTTTGTTGTAAATTAGACTCTGTGGACATTTCCTTATTTGGCATTAGATTTTAAAAATTATTATTATAAAAATTCCTCAGCTTTGTTTTGGGATGCAGTTAAATTGCTCTGGGACTGATTGTTTCAGGCTAAACTTCTTGAAATTTGTAAGGCAAGACCAAATCAGTAATTAGTCTAGAGATAATATTGTCCCACTATTGATCACTTTATCCAATGACCCATGAATTACCAGGTTTTCTACTGGGCTACTGGGAATGGGCAGTTACCACTGCCCAGTAACTATTCCTAGTCATACGTGAGAATTTGATTCCATTCAGCCTAATATTTTAGGAGTATCCTTCCTTGGTTGGGGGCCGTTTTCTCATCTGTACACGCTGATCAATAGTCCCATGAATACTTGAGACAAACCCTTTACAGATCTGCATGAGTACTCAAAAAAGAGCACCTCCTAAAGATGCTGGTTAAAAACTTTAAATCTGGCTGGGATTAGGCAGTTATGTTTATTATATTTCACACATATGGCCTGTCACTACCAATAATCAGGATAGGATGGGGATAGATTGGCAGTTCCTGCAAAATGCTTTGAATGGACAATAAGGTGTATCAGCGGCCGTTTTGTGCTAGGGGAGATTATTATTTAGGGAGGCAGTTTTCCTTTTCTTATATTTTATTTGATATTATTATTATTGTTATTTTAGGTCTAGGGATCAAACTCACGACCTTGCACTTGCCAGGCAGGTACTTATATTGCTGAACTAAATTCCTGGCCCTTTGATTATATTAATTTAACTAACTTTTCTAGAATGAATATATTTTATTTATGCATTAGAAATATTTTTAAAGTAGTCCGAAGACACCCACCAAGCATCATTATTTGCACCACTCATTCCATTTTCTGGCTGCCTGCCTCTGAGTAACGGGGAGACACAGCCAGAGGTGTAGGCATTGGGGCTTTCAAAGGCTTGTATTTTAGTGTACATGTAGGTCTTTCCTTACAGCACGACCATGTGTGTCTCCTGCTGAGGTGCAGCTGTACCATGTGTGTCTTTTCCTCTCTGGATCACTGTGAAGAGCCTGGCCCCAGTCCTTTGGAACAAGGCGTTCTGGATCAATCTTATTTCTTGTGCCTCAATTCATATCCAGATTTTCTTTTCAGAATCCCACAGACTGAGCCCTTTACAGATTTTTCTTCCTGTTATTTGTACTGTGTGTTTCTACTTTATGCTGTGTTTTCTCCATATTTGTGCCACTTAAATTAGTCCTGTTTGAACTCCTCCTCTACTTGCTTTCTTATCTTTTTGGTGGTGAAGGTGCCACTTACTTCTTCAACTGCCTTGGGCTCTATTACTCCCCCAATGTCACTTCTGTTGTGACTGGAGTCTGTTATTGTCTTTACATTGTTAAAATTTTTTTTCCCCTTTTCTTCAGTGAGACGGTCTTGCCCTTGTTTCCCGTTCTTGCTGATACTAAGCAACAGAAAAAACCTGAGACAGGGCTACCTGGTCCTCCTCTCCACGCCACCTTCTGCCAGCATCGCTCCTGCATTCCCAGGTGCTTTACTTAGTCTCTCTTTGCATTTGTCACATCCAATCTGTGATCCAGTTTCCATGTTTTCACTTATATGTTAGATTTGCTAGGACAGAGCTTATGTTTCCCTGTGTTCAATAATAAGCTGTTGAATAAAATGATGGACAGAAGAACGAATGATTTGTTGGTTATTACCACCACAAACCAAATTGTTGATTCTTCACTTTTATATTAGCTCCTTGCAGCTGATCCAACTGGTTCGGCATGTTTGTTATGAATATTTTTATGTAGTTTGTCTTACCTCATGCTCCATACAGTTTTTGCTATATTTTATCTGATTATATTAATTTACTAATCTTACTAGAATGAATACATTTACTTAGGCATTATAGAGAGTTTAAAAATAATCAGAATAAAATGATATCCACCAAACATTACTATTCCACTCATTCCATTTTCTGGCTGCCCGCATCTGAGTTATGGGAACACATGGCCATGCTCATTAACAGGAAGCATTGCTGCATCTGGGGTTTCTATCTACATTTTTATTACCATGTGTTTTGATGCATTTCATTAAATATTTTGGAAATGGGGGACTTTTGCATAGAAAAGAATTTTTATTTATAGGTGTTGGAATAGTAAAATATTTAATTAGCTGGGTGTACTAGGTCACACCTATAATCCCAGTATTTAGGAGGCTGAGCCAGGAGGATTGCTGCAAGTTTGAAGCTAACCTGGGCTACATATTGATGGCCTATCTCAAAAAAGTTGGGGGGGAGCAGGTATCTTGGGCTAGGGGTAGCGCAGAGCAAAGGTACAAATTTGGGGGTTTAATTCTCAGTACTGAAAACAAATATTTAGCAAATTGAAAATTTGAAGCTTTAATTATCTTAAGACTTTAAACTCATTTTATAATTCTGATTTTACTTATAAAACAAATTATTTTATATATGTCCTAAAAATTCTTTCACTCATTTTATTAGTTCAATTCTGGCAGATTAAAATCTGCTAGTTATGGGAATAATCCATTAATTAAATTCCTCTAAACTTTTAAAAACATTTATAATTTATTAAACAACTCAGATGCCTGACAAGCATCAAAATCAAAAGATTTGTAAGTCTAAAAATTCATCCCTAAAAGTGAAGTGGATCATAACATTCAAATTCCTTCTATAAATCTGATTAAATCATCAAAACTTTGCAACATAAACTGAAGACAGTAAAATTGATTATAAATTTGAAATTGAAATCATGAGGTTAAACGTCACATTGTTAGTTTTTCTTAAACTTTACAAAAATTTTCAATGCACAAATTATATCTTGTGTTTCTATATGTAATTCTATTAAATACTATCAATGCTACTAAGTAGTATTAATACCGTGGATCTGATTTATATTTGTGATCTGATTTACAGATGTGATCTTTATGCTTAATTTTAAGTCTTCCTGTCATTGTAAAATCACTCCCCAGTGGAAGGAAAGAGTTTCAACCCCCAGATATGGATAATAGTCCTTTCCTGTCTAGAAAGACGGTGACACAGTCTGAACTTCTGGGATGATTCCAGCCAAACCACAGACACTGAGTAGAGTTCTATTTGCTGGCTGTGTTACACACTTGTCCTTTTGTTGGGACTTATTTGTTGGGACTGGTAAACTGCCCATTGATCATTATAACTCCAGTACACCTTTCCCTGAAGCTATTGGAACATTTTAAAACACTTTTGATGGACAGAATCATGTACTGCATTTAGGCTGCCACACAGTGCCCTTATCGCTTTAGATTCTTCATTTCTTTCACAGCTTTTATAGTTGATGGTGAGGTTATAAATTTAAAAATTCAATGAACTTAAAGCAGAAGTAGAAAAGAAAGTAAACTATCTGCTCAAATCATTGGAAGTTTACAGCAATTCACAGATTCAGAGACAGCTGAATCAAGAAATTAATACAATCAAATAGCATTAGCAGGAATCCATCTCCACTCCCATACCTCTGCCTCTGTTTCCCACTGTTTCCTCTGTCTCTAGGCTTTGGGTTAATTCTTACTTTTATTTCACAGGGTAGCAACAAAGCTCCAGGAAGCTCCAGAGTTTTATGGTACTGACAGCTGGTATGCTTGGATTGTATCTCTTCATCTGGATCACTCAACTGATTCATCACTGTTTATTATGAATATTTTTGTGTATTTGCCTTACTCATGCTCCATGCAGTACACATACTTCTTACTCCCTGCAGGGACTTCTGATGCATCTGGGGCTTCTGTATCTATATGATTTTTCTTACAATGTGTGGTGATGAGAATATTTTGAAAGTGAAGGGTACAAGTCCATATGCATCCTGACCAGTAAATTAGGTGTTCTGCTTGAACACTCCAGGTCACAAATCAACCCTTGTAGAGGTGGATGCAAGATTCTTTGATGATAGACTCAAGAAAATTTTGAAAGTTGTGGAGGGGCGGTTCTCTGCAATAAGGGATGCCAGACAGATAAATAAGTGGCAGATGCCCTCTACAGTGTGGAATAAATTCAGATAATTTTATGAGATTCATGTATAGTGAGTCTTTTGCTGAGCCTGCTGCCAGCCATAAACCTTGTCTGTCCCAAATGGAAAAGCATTTGGCAGCTGATTGAATTCGGTCTCGTCTTCTTTGGCACAGCACTAGCTCATTTTTGTTTTGTTCAGTTCCAAATCTGTCTTCTGCTTTTCCTGGAACCGCTAATACATTATAGTCTTTATCCAAGTCACACAAGGTCTCCTATATTTGCTTTTAATGTGGGATCCTCATCAAGTTTTCCCAGAATTCTTTCCTTTTTCCTATAGATACATATTCTGTTTCCCAGATAAGCCAAATTCTTAGGGATCTGAGTTACTGAAAAGATGTTCCTTTAGGCGTATCTCAGTTTATGCAATAAATGAGTTCCAATTCATTATTTACAGTCAGTCACTTTTGAAATGAATCCTTAAAAGATTTCCCATCAAAAGATCTTGTGGTTTTTTTTTTTTTTTTTTTTTTTTTTTGTCTTTTCCCTTTTTATCGGTGATCGAACTCACGACTGCCTGCTTGCAAGGCAGGCACTTATGCCGCTGAGCTAAATCCCCAGCCCCGATCTTGTGTGTTTTTAAAAAATAATTAATTTATTTTGATCAGAAAATACAGAGCTGTCTCTGGTTCCTGAGCTTCCAGAGTGATGATGAAGACAATAGACATATATTAAGTTGGTACTGGTATTGTGCTAGGGATCTGTGTGTAGTATATTTTAACTGACAGTGTGGTGAGAGTCATATGCAAATTCTATTGTTATATAAAATGAAATAGGCTCAAAAGGTGACTGACCCAATGTCATGCACCCAGTAAGTGGACTAAAATTTGAAACGAGGTCATCCCAATCCTGTTCTTTATACTGGGATTAGAACCATGGAACCATCACCTTCATTTTCATTTTCTTATTTCTCCTCCCTTGTTTGACCAATTTTTGTTTTCCTTTCCAGCCTGTTGCAATCTTTTATTCTTCTCCCTTATCTCTTACTGGAATCTCATTTGCCTTTCCCACATCAGCCTTTGGTTGATGAGATAGTTGTGGTATCAGCTTATTGAACTGTCTAAATTCATACTTCCACAGTGAGAGACATTTGATTCCTTTAAAAACCCTCGTAAGGAAAGGTAGGGGGTCTTTTCTCATTTCACATATTAGAAAGTTATACACAGAAAATAAACAAGTAAGAAGACATCTGGGGTCAGCTCTCTGTATGAGAAAGAGGTGCTCAAGGCATTGAATAGGTCGTATCCAAGCAGACGTTTGAAACCCAGAAAAGCAAGTAACAGGCCTGGTTCACTTAGACTACATACCTAAGTCCTTTTGGTGGCCGGATCCCCTTTCCTCTGTGTCCTCTTTATATTCTCTGGCATGACTGTGGTGCCCAGGCTGCTCTTCCTACAGGCAAGCTTTCTCTGCCCAGGTTTTGCTCTTGCTGTTGCCTCTGCCTGAAGTCTCTCCCAAGAATCCAGCCTGTCTTGTTCTTTAGGTCATTCATCAAATGTACTCATCAAATTGTACTGAGACCTTTCTTAGATACTGTATTAATTCTCAGTCCTACTTCTTCTGCAGTTCCATTTTCCCTTTTGTATTTTGCTTTTCTCCAAAATAACTTAACACTTACTAAATGAATACTATTACTTTTAATTTTCCACTACAATTATGCTTCTCTAGGACATGACTTTTACCTGATTTTTTCACTGGTACACAGTCAATGCTCAGTAAATGTTCATGGAATGGATGAGTGAGTAAGTAAAGACATTTCTTCATTCATTTATTCCAGAGACACTAGTCACATGGAGGATAAGCCAGGCCCTACCTCGTGTATGAACCTCAGGAGGGAGGACAATAAAAGCCCATTGCCAAGTAGGAAAATAAATGTGCAGTCAGGTATACAGTGTAAAGACTAGCATAAAATAGCTGTCCTGATGGCTATGCCATTGGAAAAACCTAGTTTGAGACATGGAAAGATCTGTAAGCCAGGGTTGGTCAGGAAAACAAAGGTAAAAAATTCTAGAGACAGAAGCCCTTCCCCCACTCCAGCTTCAGGTATTGTTCAGGGACTCAGAAGGCAGCCTACAAGGTAGTTAAGGACCAAGCAGTATGCCAGCTCTCAATTTGTATGCAACTTATTTGCATATTTTGGAGTACATTCTATTAATATTCTGACACTAATATTGGAACACAATCATTTAAACTGCCTGCCAGTGCTTTATGTCTAATGCAGGAGCTCAGTCCAGGAGAAAATTAGGTAACCAAAGGGAGTAACATTACTCTCCCCTGATTTTTAACAATGTGCCACCTGACATGGAATGCTTTTCAGTCCATTTGTTTGTTTGTTTGAAATTCAAATAAAATCATGGCTAGAAAATGTCAATTTAAAACCTCAGGAAAAGTCTTAAATAAAGGAAAGGACTGTCACCATCAATGTCAAATTAGAAAATAAGTCATTTTGGAATGACTTTTAAAACTCATACTGTCTCTAGTAGCATTATACATTGCATTATGTGAAAGCACAGTCTGTACAATGCACAATAATGCCACCGAGATTAAAGGAGAAGATAATCCTGGAAACAGGTGACACTGACTTGCACGCTAAAGCTCCTGCATGGGAAAGTCAAGGGTGTGGGCAAAGCTGTAGGCTGAAGGTCAGCAAGGCTCAGTTCTGTACTGCAAGTCCATTTAGGGTATAAGCTGTGGAAAGGCTGTAAATTTTTGGTAACTTCAGATTAATTTTATTGCAATCTAGAAAAATAATCCAACCTTCACTTTATTTGGAAATTGACTACTTCTTCTAAATGCATTCTATTTAGAACATTTATATTAATTCTAACTTTAAAATCACAACTTTTCAGATAAATTAACCAATAGATTATAAGGCTTAGAGTCTATGAGTAGCCTTTGTGTTGCAGTTACAAATCTTCATCATGTAGAATGTTAGCAAATTATAGCTCCATGTTTCAAATCCAACTACCACCTGCTTTTCTGCAAATAAACTTTTATTGAAACACTACCCAACCGTTCATTGCTGCATTGTCTGTTGTCTGGGGCTCCTTTCATTACATAGCAGAGTTGAAATAGAGGTAGTTATCCTACCAAGCTTAAGATATTTGCTGTCTGGCCCTTTACAAAAAACAAAAAATAAACAAACAAAAAAAGCAAAACAAAACAAACTAAAAACAAGCTTGCCAACTCTCAATCTAGGAGAAGGAAATTTCTATTATAAAGTCTACAGGTGAGTTTACTCTTAAGTCAGCCCATTCTCCTAGGATACCTTGATAATACTGTCACAATGAATTGCTCAAAAGTAGCAACATGGTTTTGCTATCGTATATCATTTTGATTGTGAGTTTTTACCCCATTGGGTTAACAAAAATATTGTTCTGTAAAATAGAATTAGGAAACACTTTAGATAACACGGTGTGAGAGCCAGTGGTGGGATTTGCACACAGTGAGACCTGGGAAGGCCAAGAGGCTAATCAAATGAGGGAGGGGTCGAAACTGAGTTTATCTCCTCGGTACATATATTTCACAGCTGTACTGCTGAGACAGATGGCTTGGAATGCCACGGGAAGGCTACGCCAAACAAAAATGAGAGCATGAGGAAAGTTTCCTAGAGAAAAATATTTTTCCTTACAAATTTGAAATATTTTCCCTTCTATGTTATATTCTCTTTTTCTCCTTTTGAAATAGCAAAGCTTCATTCTTTGCCAAAAGTTTGTTCTTCCTTTCAATTTCTGCCCAAAGGAAAATAAATTTCTTCACCTGATTCACGTGGATCATTTGATAAGCATATTGAGCTTGTCAAAAGAAGTTGAAATAGATTTTTTTAGCAGATGAAAATAGTAAAATTGCCAAATTCAAATTAATTTTTTCATTAATTAAAGGCAGGGACATAAATGAGCAGAACAGTTTTAAAGCAACAGAAATGTTCTTGGCCTGTGAACTGTAGTACATTTTTTGTCGTCATGATAGGAATTGAGATCCAGTTAGTAGTTTTGTGATCTAGAAAAACCAGGTCTACTTTTTAGGGAGTGGGGAAGGTTGTGTCAATCAGCAGAATTTTCAAATAAGGAAAGTAATCCTGGTCTGAAGGGACTAAACTGAGTTATCTAGTCCATCTAAGTGTGTATGTGTGTCTGACAGAGAGAGAGAGAGAGAGAGAGAGAGAGAGAGAGAGAGAGAGACAGACAGACAGACAGTTACAGAGAGACAGAGACAGAGATAGGAAGAGAGAGAGACAGACAGAGACAGGAAGAGACAGAGAGACAGACAGTGACAGAGAGACAAAGAGAAAGAGAGAGACAGAGACAGAGACAAAGACAGAGAGACAGAGAGAATGAATGAGGAGGGGTTGTCCTTGAAATTTATGCTCTATGATTGCCAAAATCTCACCTGAGAATTTCACGGAGGCCTGAGATAGAGAAGGAAGCGAAAGTAAAATTAACTATTTCTGCTACCATTTAAAACTCACCCTAAGAAAAAAGCCTTGCAGGGTAAAGAATTCAAACTAAATGAGGCTCCTGGTTTTCTGTGGGCTTCAGTGATTCAAATCAGCTCCAGAGCTACCATGCAGCAGTGACTACTTCAGGTTGGCAAAAGGTAAAACCCTGCTGTCCACATGGAACCTGGTCATTAGCAAGGCTCTCTTTAAAGCGCTAGAGCCACTTTCATTTCTTAAAAATATTCCCAGCATGTTAAAAAGTGAAGAAATACTGAGAGTTACAAATATTTTGGTGCATTTTAAAATGGACTATGTTTGAAAATTGGTAATTTTAACATACACATTCAAATGGGGACAGTGTAATTACTTTGCTTTTCAAATGATTCACAACATAGATAGATAGATGAGAACATGATGTTGGGTGTGCTGCAGGCAGTGGTACCCAAACTTAAGGTGGTAGGAAGGATGAATCTCAGCCCTATGAGTGAATGTTGATGGGCATATAATCTCATTTGGAAATGGTGCTGAACATTGATATCTGAGGCACTGTCTAAGCCAGAAGGCTGACCTGTGAGACTCCCATGCCTTCTTTCCCCCAGCTTTCTGTCCATCCTTACTGAGACTGGACTATTAGGATGCCACTATGACTGGGAGGAGAAGCTGGGAGGAGAAAGGTTAGAGGTGACAGCCAAGTGCATTTTATGCTCCTTCTTCAAATAGTTTTTCAAGTGCTTGATATGTGCAGAGGTCAGAAGATAATGTCATGGTTAAACTCACACGCAGAGCTTGAATCTTGCAGTTTTTCCCTACTCGAGTCATAGAGTTCTCTAAGCCTTCTTTTTTCATCAAGGGTCTCATTGAGAGGCACTGGTTGCTATGAAGATTTAAAAGGACTTTCCCAGTAGTTATAAAATTATCAGAAGTGTTTTCTCGTCCAGTGAATAAGCAATACAAAAGTCTTGCCTTTAGGGAACTTAAATTCCATCTTCTTTACTGTATTTTGTTTTCTATCTTGCGCACTGCAATCTGCTCAACCTCTAACAACTGCCTTGCAATGTCTAAAGGTATTTGGTAAAATGTAGGTAAAAGTTACTCAGTGATGAACAAGGAAAAGTTCAGCTGAATTAAGGAAATTCTTAAAAGTTCATTTACTCAAGTACTCGATGAGCAGTAATATATGTAAGGCACTGTGCAGAGGTTGCCATATAGTAGTGAACAAATGCAGGTAGGAAATGTATTGGATTCATAAATTGTTTTGCATACTGTAATCCAAACAACTAGCACACAGATCTATAATGACAGCTTACCAGTACCCCAGTCTGTACTTTCTTCCACTCCTCCCAGAGTAAATACTATTTCAATTTCTAAAATCACAGATGACTTTCACCTGTTATATTTTACTCAATTATCTTTGTGAGATCCATTTTTTTTTTTTTTGTACCAGGATCGAAACTCACATTCTTGTACTTGCCAGGCAGGTGCTTACACCACTGAGCTACATCCCCAGGCCAAGATTCATCCTTTTGTGTGTGTGTGTGTGGGGGGGGGTGTATAGCTGTATTTGTTCATTTTCATTCTGGTGTATTTATTTCAACATATGAATATACACTGATTTTTATGTCCATTGCATTATTAATAGATATCTGGGTTGTTTTCAGTTTGGGACTATTATAAATGCTGGCAGTTAACATTCATACCTTTGCCATTAATTAACTATATGCCTACCTTTCTGCTGCATACACACTTAGGAGTAGAATTGCTGAATGTAAAGGATGAATATGTTCAGTTTTGCTGGGTAGTGTTATGGTTGATACATTGTGTCAACTTGAGCAGTTTAGAAGTTTAACTAAGAGACTCATCAGGGAGCCAGTTTACCTAGTAAACATTCTAATTATATGCAAGAGAAGGGCAAGGAGATTTTGTGAGTGCTATACCAGTGTTGGAAGTGAGGGTGGTGGTGGCCTATGTACAATATAAAGCAAGTGAAAATGTTTGTTCTCCCCAACTTTTTCTCTGGCTGCTTTTGCTGGCTGCTACCTTTAAGTGTTACCTCTGCGCCATCCACCCTGCCTTGGAGCCAGGTGATTATGGACTGAAACCTCCACGAGCTGTAAGCCAAATAAACCTTCCCTTCCTTCATTTTGGGTGTTGAGTATTTTGTCTCAGCAATGAGAGAAAAGTAACCAAGACAGTATCAAACAGCTTTATAAAGCAGTTGTAATAATGTACTATCTAAGCAGCAGACTATGAAGATTCTGGTTCCCCATCTTGTCTTTATTTCAATTTTAGCCATTTAGAGAGTACAGTATGCTGTGGTTTCTACAGTATGATTTTAATCCATACTTCTCAAATGACTGATGCCTTTTCATGTACTTATTTTCTGTTTGAGTGTGTTCACTTATGCAGCATCCATTCTAATCCTTGCCCATTTTTCTACTATTTTATATTGATTTGAAAGAATGTTTTATATATTTCAAATAAGAGTGCTTTTACAGATGAAAATCTCTTCTATTAGTCTATGACTTTCATTTAAATGGTTTTGAAGAACTGAAGTTGTTAATTTTAATGTAGCCCAATATTTCTCCTCATTATTTTGGGTTATTACTGTACTTTTTATTTCTTAAGAAAACTTTATCTGAGTCATTTCTTATGGAGGCATCTAAATCAAGGGTAGAAAATTTTATGTATTATGTTGCCTAGAGTACTATGCAATACTCCTAGAAAAGCTAAAGGTGACCCCAAGAAACCAAAAGGGAAAAGGTTTGCTTGTGCTTTCTTTGGAAAGACATGGTGGAATACACAAAGGTAAGTCCAGAGGTCCTTGTAAACTGCATTTCTATGATCTATTGTGAAAGATGGGTGTCTTAGCTATTTTTCTCTCAATGATGATACAAAATATTTGATACTCAAAGTTAAAGTGGGGAAAGATTTATTTAGCTCACAGTTTGTAGAGATTTCAGCCCATAATTGGCTGGCTCCAAGACATGGTTCTTTGACCGAGGGGCATTTCAGAGTAGAATCAGTTCATGGCAAGCAGAAGATAGCAAAAGCAAGCAAGCAAGGGACCTTAACAGTATCTACCTGCCCCTTTTATCTTATCTAGACTATTTAGAGTGGATAGCGCTCAAACTCTTATTCCTAGTGCCCTTGATCCTTGCATTGCACCATGAATCAGTTTTAGTGTCACGCACTCTAAATCCTGCCACCTCTGAAAAAGCCCCACCTATGACTGCCCAGGGGTTTGGGGAGACATCTAAAAATAAGACTTAATAATGAAATATCATGTTTGGGAAAGACAGATACAATTCGATGAAATGGCAAGGTGCTCTATGAACAGGGAATGAAAGATTATAGACCAGCAAAGAGAGTCAACAAGCATGATCATAACACCCCAACACTCATTCCCCATCTGGGATCAAATCTACAAACGTAGGCGTTTCCACCCAAGATGTAGACAAAGCAAACAAACAAAATGAAGAAACAAAAACAACTGGCTGATAGTATGCAGAATTCCTACCAAACACCTAGAAAGATTTTTTTCACCCATGAATATGATGAGACAAAATGTTATTCACTGGTACGATTGCCTTCTGTTTTATGTGGAACTGACCTGGAGAAAGGAGATAGTCTGGATAGACCTGATCTAATCACAAGAGACCTTTTCAGAGACACTTGCTGGTGGTAGACATCAGCGTGATTGCAAAGATTAGAAGGGCACTGACTTGAAGGAGGAAGCTGAGTGAGAAAGAACTCAGGCAACCTTTTGGAGCTAAGAAAAGCTCCCTGCTAACAGACATCAAAGATACAGAGTCCTTAGTCCTACAACCACAGAGACTGACTTCTGCCAATAAGCTGAGCCAGCCTAGAAATGATGTCTCCTCTTGCCTTAGATGAGAACTTGACTTGGATGAAGACTTGACTTTTCTCCTTGCAATACCATGAACGGAGAACTGAAAGGCTTCTAAGCTATAGAACTACCAGCAATTGAACAGATATTGTTATAAGGTGCTAAATATGTGGTAATTTGTTGCACAGCAGCACAAAATAAAACATGGGATTTTTTTTTTGTCTTTTTCATTTTTATCTGTACCAGGGATCGAACTCACGACCGCACACTTGCAAGGCAGGTGCTTATGCCGCTGAGCTAAATCTCCAGCCCCAACATGGGATAATTTGAGTGACTGTGAAAAGCCATATTATCTTAAGGCAACAAATACGAAGGAGATGTATTAGAAGAAGGTTTCAAGTTATGGGATTGAAAGATCCTCTAGAATTCCCTGGAACAAAGATAGAGGAATAACATCAAAACATGAGAAAAAGATAAAAAAAAAAGAAAAGAGTCAGTAAAATCGTATGACCGTCTCCATATGGATGCATGTGGGATGAGCATAGGAAGTGTCTGGTGTCCTTATTGAGTTTAATTTCACAATTAAATCATAGTGTACTACAGTTTCAGAAGTACTATAAAAGTCAAGTGGCTACTAGGTGGTATTCACAGGTATCACAAGCACTCAGAAAAGCCTTCAGAATTGTCCATGTTTCTCAACATTTTTAGAGTAAAAATACACTCTTTTTTTGCCTTTGCTCCCTGAATTTAAGAGATCTGTGTGAGAGGGCGGATGAAATATTGCTGGAATTTTAAACAATTTTACTTATTAAAAAAAATCTTAAATTCTCAAATGTATAGTCAAAGAAGAGTAAGTCAGCCTCTCCTTGCATGGGTGGTACAGTGCAAGGGGAGGTGGCACTTTTTGGAGATGTCACACAGCTGAGGATAGACCTCATGACACTGACTTGGATTCACTTGTTTTTCTATACAGGGACACCACATTCTGAAGACATTCTTAGCTATGGAAAAGGAACACAAGCTGCCATGAAAAAAATATCCTGATTATTCTAAATTAAATCTGAGGCCTTTCAAACAAATGACAGAATTCTTCATTGCCAAGTACATCAATTGGCCTTTCTGTCGCTGGGACAAAGTACCTGCTAAGCACAACTTAAAGAAGAAAGGATTTATTTTTACTCACAGTTTCAGAAGTTTCAATCCATAGCCAGCTGACTCCAAGGAAAAAAACAAGGGCAGAAGGACAAGGCGAAGGAAAACTTTTCACTTCTCAGCAGCCAGAAGTGGAGAGAGAGTAGAGGAGCCAAGGTGAGAGGTAGATACAGGGTCCAGATGAAGTATGGATCTCATGGTGATTTCACAATACAAACACATCTTGGTAACAATCAACTAGGATGAGAAATCTCCATTCAGGTCCCCTGGCAATTCCAGTGACCCTTCTTCTCCAGCCAACCTCTATTCCACTCTTAATACATACATTTGATTTCTTTCAGATTGCTAAAATGCTTTTGAAGCAAAATGGAGAGCTATTTAAACTTATAAAAAAACTAGGAGGAGAAAAAATATTCCAAGGGCATAGAGGTCTTTTTCTATTTTCTTAAAAAAATATTTTATGTTATCTTTTGTGCTTGGTTTATGATTCATCTCAATTTAATTTTTGGTGAGACCAGAAAACCATCCATCCTTGGCCCAGCTGAAATAAGCTGGTGCCTACATGGAGGCTCCCTCTCTGGCAGATGCAGGACTTCTATTTTCATCTCCGGAGACCATCGAAAACTCTGATGTTTTTCAGAGGCATATAACTTCTGTTTTTTAAAACTCAAATCCTGATATGTCCCCAATTCAGCGAATGTCCTGAAGAGAATTCCAGCTGTGTGTTTGAGCCCTCTATTTCTATTTTAGGAATTTTCTGATTTCTCTGTCCCCAGCTTCTGCCAGGACCACTGTGAGCAATGCCCACTGGGAAGCAGCTGCTGGGGCCACTGAGTTCACTTCTGAGAGGTTCCACGTGGTCCCCACAGCCCCTCCAGATCTTTTTGCTTCAGCCATTCCTACTCCCCCAGACAAATGAGTTCTGCTTTTAATTTGGCCTTTTTTATTTTGCAAAATGGGTCAGGAGTCCCATTTTGCTACCAGTTGTCCAACATAACCTCAAACAACAAATATATTTTTAATTGTAACTGAATAAATGTTTGAATAAAAGACCCAAGAGTGCTATTAGAAGAGGTAATACTAGGCATCTATGGTTCAGGACTTTCTTTGTCCTCTGTGGAGGGCACTGCAATTTGCCAATACCATAGCTGAGCCCGGACTGCCCAGCCCCATCAGTCCCTCATCTGTAACAAGTGGCTTAGATCTCTAGATTGCATCCTACGATTCTGGCATTTAGGCTTCATCATAAGAGAACAATCTTCTCAAGTGCTTTAAACTTTTAGAACAAAAGACAAACTGACTGATCTGATTCACTTCAAAGAAAGTGCCATAGAAATTTTCTTAACGCCTTTTACATGCTGTATGTATCCTTGAAAAACCGAGACAGTATTTCCATAAGATCACAAGCACACCAAAGCTACTGAGACACAATCCTTAAGGAAAGGATATTGAAAGCAAATTTCATTTTGTTTTACACAATTTCTTCATGGTTGTGTCCATGTTCACTGCAGCAGCTTGGGTGGGAACATAGGTTTATGCATGTAGTCATTTGTATAAGATGAAATGAAAGCCATCAATTGATACCACCATAGAATTAAGCTGGAGCTTGACTTCATATTTAGTGTCCTAAGAAAAAAATGGAACTCAGCTGCTTTTCCTCTTTCCTGCTTGGATTTTCAACTTGCAATGCCACATAATCAAGTAAGGAGTTTTTGAAAACAGAGGCCGGGATGGATAAGCAGAGAAGTGGCCTGTACAGTCATCTTTATCCTTAAGATCCTTAGTAAAAGAGGGATGAGCTGACTCCTGTCAGCTGTCTTCCAGCTGAGGAAACTTCACAACAGTGTATATAGGACAGCAGGGACCTTAGAACTTCTGAGTGATTAGTCCTTTGGGAGAAAAAAATGCATCAATAATTAATTGAGATTGCTTTTTAAAATAGGGTCAGAAGAAAATGAATGCTGTCTAGGTGAAAGTCAACACTCAGAGATAACCTCAGCTAATAGAGGATATGGTGGCTCAAAAGATAAACAAGGGAGAACGGAGGAGAAGTACAATAAAAATAAATGAAGGGAAATAGGGAGGGGACCCAACACAGGATGAGTCCAGAGGAAGCAATTACTTGGGGACAAGCCAGGGAAAAGTGTAGGAGAAAAAATAGGTTAGAAAAAACAATCAGCAGACATTAGATTCACTAGAAAAGCCTCTTATGCAAGGGTTTGGACCTTGGCTTCCTCATTTAATACTAGGGACCACCCCACTAGGCACTTTATTAGAGGAAAGGAGCAGAAATAGGCCTACCAAACAGGAGAGGAGCCAACAGGAGTGTGAAGCTCCTGCAGGAAGTCTCTCAAAAGAGTTCTTTGTCTCTCCATCCTTCAGATTTGTCTTATTCCTGCACATGTCCTTTCTGGTTTTTCTGCCCTGCTTTTCCATTCTTTTAAGGAAATTTCCCTTTCTGTTCACTTCTGATTATTTATTATTCCTTACACAGTCAACATGAGGCATAGGCATTAAAAATAGGAAAATGTAAAAATAAAGCTGATGGTAAATATCTAGCATTGCACATTACATATCACCATATCATTTATTGCATAATACACCCTATTCTATATTCTATGTGTTAATATTTACTTAGCAGTTGAGGATAAGCATACACCATTCTTGAGAAACTTCTTTCTTTTATGTAAGATGTTAATGACTCTGGACTGAGTTTGATACTGACATTTGATGGCTCAGGTATTTTGCAGTCTTTCTTTCCTGCTTGCTTCCTTGTTTCATTTGAGGTGGGATTTCTCTGTGTTGCCAGGCTGGCCTCAGATTCCTAGGCTCAAGCAGCTTTTTCCTCAGCCTCTTGGGTAGCTGAGACCCCAGGCAGCACATGCCCCCGCACCTTCTTGCAGGGATTTCAACTCTTGCTGATCTCAGAATACCCATCCTCTAACCTGTAAAGTTTCTGTTCTTACTATTTTCATGTAATTTCCCTACATTATAGTTCAAGGAAACCATTGAGTAAGTTGTCGTCATAAATATAACGATTCCTGGTACTCTTGAAAGCCATTTGCTCTAGAAGCTTCAGGAATTCTCCAGCATCCTTACAAGGGCGGCAAACACTTATACATGGAGAATAAGGGATTGATCCAACTGCTATACAGAAGTCAGAACTAAAGTTGGAGTTTTAAGGGGAAATATCTTGTACTTGACATTGGACTTCCTGCCCTGGGAAACTGAAATAAAATGGGAAAATTATAAATTAGAATTGAGGAAGTATTTTAATCAAGTTTGTACATTTTCTGAGTAAGAACTAATATTTTATAAGTAATGGCATTTAAAAGTAGTACTAATAAAAGCAATGTGATTTTTGATAATTTGCCTCTTCATCTCTCATAATTAAATTTATCACAAAGCATAAATTTTCATGGTTTTAATATTAGAGGGAAGAAAATAAAATGGTAGTTATTTAACTTGTCCTGTTCAAGTGCTGATTTATGCTGACAAATTCCATACTAGTGATCATCTGCCCTTTTGGAAAAGAATGAGAGATCAGTTAAGATGACATCTATAATTTTCAAGAGTGTTTTAAGCTACTATTAAATACTTTTAAAACGGACTGTGTGCAATAGTCAAACATAAGAAATTCAGACTCCCTGGTCTTATGATGTGGGAAGGCAGGCCCGACAGGGAGATTGTTAGACGGGTCAGAGTTGTATGGTGCAGACCAGAAACTGATGGAGCACAGAGATCTAATGGTGTTGAGCAGGTTGCGGTGAGTCAGGAATTTGGCCTACTGTTTGCTCAAATGTTGTGTTAGGCCCACAGAAGAGAGAGCAACCACTAAAGGCAGTGTGCTTACGTCCAAACTCTCACCTCTCACTTTTCAATAGTGTATGCCAGACTGCAGATGTGAAGTTCTGTGCATGTGTACGATCTCCAATTCCTAACACCAGGATGTGTTGATTTTGTGAAAAGAAAGCTGATTTGCATGTAGGCCCTGTCCTGGCTGAGTGGCCTTTAAAGGCGCCCTGGACCTCTTCAGGCCCCAACTAACTATCTATACGAGAGGCACAACGTTAGTATCTCCCACCACTGTTGCTCTAATCAAGTGAGACACTGGATGTAGCAGAAATGCTTTGTAAACACAAACTACAGAAGTTTTAGTTACTGTTAAATAAACAGTGATGGTTAGTTGCATTCCAGACCATGCATGTCCCTATCGTCTGGCCTGACCTGCCTTTTGCTTTTAGCACCTAATCCAGTGAGATCTCTTTAAAATGCTACAAAATATATCTTGTCCCTAGGCTGGTTAGATAGGCTTGTGACCTGTGCAGTCTCACACCCATGTTCAGAGTCTCTATGCTGAGTCTAATGCTTTACTGTCATCTTGAGATTCTTAGGAATTTCTGAGCAAGAGGCCTGCGTGTTCATTTTGCACTGGGCCTACAAATTAGTTCAGCAGTGCTGCCCATCATTTCATTTTAACTTATTACAAAATGCCTGATTTTAAATTCTTTGCAGTTTGCTCCATTTCTCATCATCTGCTTTGAGTATCTCTATATAGTAAATAATTATAGATTGAAATTTTTGATTAAAATTTTCTATATGTATTTGGGATGTGGATGCATTTCATAAATAAAGAAGAATGTAAAATACTGATTCAATCATTCAGTCTTTCCTCTAGACCATGTAGATTCTGCCTTCCTGGAGGAAACATTTTTAATAATCCTAACACAAATGCTCAGCACATTGTAGATTATTAGTGAAAAGTAGTGGAACGTGGGAATGGTATCATGTACATGACCAAAACTATGGTGACTGTTTATATTAAAATTAAGTTATTATAGTAAGGCACATTGCCATCAGTCTCCTTCAAAATAATCCCTCTTGCTCTGACACATTTATCTCCTCATTTTTGCCACTTTCTCAACCCATTCTAGAAGCCCTGTCTCAAGACTCAAGACTTTTGTGAGGTGAGGTCAAAACTCTGTTGAATATTGCTGCCAAGTGCCATCCAAGGGAAAAGCAAGTTCATCAAGACATGGCAGTGTGTCCTCCTCCACCTCACACACCAGGTCTCCTACCCTGAGACTTCCGGCTCTTCTCCAAAGTCAAAATGACTTCTAGTGCAACGAACTGGCTTCCAGAACTGCTTCAGAAAGTGCCAAGGATGATAGCATAGGTACATTGGAAGTGAATTGGAGTGTTTTGAAGGGGCTTAATGTCAATGTGTCTTTGATTGCAACACATTTTTAAATATAAATATTCAATATAACTTTTGATGCTACCTCATAGATTATATCAATCAGCTTTAAAAGAAGTTCCCTTTGGATGATTAAAAATTCTTTTAAATGATATATGGGGTGTATTTTATTCATTGTGATTTATAGTAGCTCACAATATTTGACATTGCATGCACCAGTTACAGCCTTCTTCAAATTCTTATAATGCATGCCGTTAAAACCTTAGTCTCCCTAGAGATATAAATGCAAAAAATTTTGTTTTATTCCTAGTTATAATACTGCAGTGTCACATCTGATACTCATATTAAGGTAATTTAGTTTGTTTGACTTTGTTGGATGTATCATTTGATAATAATATGGTAGTCAAATAAGTTGTTTTCACAGTTCTGGGGATCAAACTTAGAAACCCATGCAAGTGCTCTACCATTGAGTTATACTCCTAGTCTTCAAATATTTTTAAAATACATAGGATTTGTTTTCAATAGTAAATAACGATGGTTTGCTTCAGCAATACATTTGAGTGGAGTGGGCAAATAGAATATGTATTAACTAATTTATTGCTGCACACAAAGTTGCCATAGAATAGAGCAGTGTAGGCAACTGGGAGTCTTAGAGCAGCTTAGCAAGTTTTTCTGCCCCAGGAAGTTTCAGTCAGGCTGTTGCATGGACCTCAGGCCTTAGCACTGACAGATCCAAAAGACGGCAAGATGGAGCCCACACAACTTTTACACTGTCATCTGGCCTCCAGAATGACACATTCTCACTCTTCTAATATCTTGTTTGTACACACAACAACACTGATCCAGTGTGGCTGGGGAACTCCCCAGGGGTGTGAATATTGGGAGGGAAGAATCACTAGAGCTATTTTGGAACCTACCCTATCACAGAGTTAGGTGGCCTTTGGCCTATTCCTGAGTTCTTCCCAAGTCCTGCCACCAAAGAGGGGGCAATCCAAAGGTTTGTGTAGAGAGTCACCTGGGTGATTCTCCTTGAATAAAGAGTAATTACCTCCACTTTGGCTAAACCTAGCCCTAACTCCATGTACTGATATGTATAGAGCTGGATAAGCTATTTTCTTTCCTCTCCAATTGGTTCTAAGCAATGTGAATAGGGCTAGCTGAAGTACTGATGAAGCTAGGCCACAGCCACTGATTCCCCACTACAGGATCTCCCTAAAATGGTTGAGTCCAGCTAGATGGCAGGGCCACTGTTTCAAGGCTGTCAACTGGGTTTGAGCCTTGAGATAAGAGGCTATGACTTTCCAGGGCAGAAAAGGTTTGCACATCAGAACCAAAGCACCACCACCTCAATATTAAATGCTACCTCAGTTGTGTTATACAGATTGGCCTTTCTGCATATTTTCTTTGCGTACTACAGAGTAGTTTCTAGCCTCCTAGCTATCCCAGATCACAGTACTCCTGTAATTCCTGCCATTTTCTCAGTCACTCATCATCTAACCACTTCCTTCTTCACATGATAATAAAAGCCGGTGGGTTGAGGCCTTTGTGCTGATAAATATTCATCCAGGACCCCTTGGCTAACCATAATTACAAATATGTGTTAGGATATTTTTGCCATGGATAACACTAGAAGTGGTGGATTAAAATTAATTTTCTAGAATTCCAATGATGTTTCCATGAGATTACAAAAATAAACTTCCCAGATCACGACAAAGATGGAGAAAGGGACCTCTACAGATTTGGCTCCTTGGAAACCCTACATAGCAATCTGAAGACAGACTCCGGTTAACTTTCAAGTTCAATTAATGTATCTTTACAGATATTGAATGGGGTGGCTGTGTTGTATATCCAGCAAAGAGCATGCATCCACATAAATGGGGACCACATGAAGTGATCACATTTGCTACACTTATTGCTGTGTTAAGTGCCACCAGGTCAAGAGTCCAGGTTGTTTCAGAGAAAGACAAGCAGAAAACCATATGGTGTGCAACTAGTCAAGCAGCACAAAGTATATTTCAAGTGAATTTAGGCTTCATGCTGATGAGGGTAGGCCGTGAAGAACTGAATACAGGGTGACATGGAGTGGTAAAAAGTTAGAATTAAGAGGATGTGCTCAAAATGAAAGGTCAAGATGCTGACTCAGAAGCCTTACAGTCCTGTGTGAGGTTAGCTTTTATCTAGGGTAGTGTACAGAGTGCCCAGCTCTTGGAAAAATGAAGGTAAGAAGTGGCAGGAAAGCAAAAGACATGGGTATTTCTGAGACCTGCCATTTGCAATGCACTTGCCATTGTTTTAGATGTATCCCCAATTAACTGGGACAAGTGTCATATTCTCTTTAAGGAAGTAGGTTTTGAATGCCAGGTTGTTTGCTTCCAAAGCACACACATTTTCACGAGACATTTTACAACCAGTGCACTGTCATCCTTGAGATGGCTAGATTGGGAACTGTGAAGCAGGACTTCCTGGTGACTCAGATGGGAGGAGGGAAGGAGGACGCTGGGTAAGCAGCACTGAGCCAAGGGTAAACTTCCGCCTTTCTATTTACAGTTCTGGAAGGCAGACTTTGATCTTCATAAAGGCACAGTTGTCCACAATTCCAGCTTCACCCTCCATCTCAAGACTCACCAACACGCATGTGCTATCTTGGAAGTGCTCACAAGGGTGAGGAGAGTTAGGAAAAAGGGCTCACTCCGCGTTCCTTACCAATGGCAGCAACATTTGAATTAGCCTAACTGAAGTTTAAAAAATCATTTCCTTAGAGAGTAGTAGTTTAAAGAAGAGATGACAATAGTGCAAAACAAAAGATTAAAGGAAGGAGTATATCACTATTTAGAAAATAAAGCCAAAGAGATACCTGATACTTAGCATACTATAGAACACTCTGGAGAGCTGGATTCAAATTCTGCTCTACTCTTAGATATGTAACTTGCATTTACAACACATATAAGCTCAGGTCTCACCTGTAAAATGTGATGATGATGCCTACCTCATAGAATATTGTATTAATGGAGATACTTTTACTTATTACTATGGGTAGCACAGAGTACATGCTATATAAACTTAACCATGTTAGTCAAAGTTCTCCAGAGGATTTAACATATATACATGGGGGTTCATTAGATTGTTTTACATGGTCAGAAGCTGAACAGCCCCTAAATGGCTGTCCTCATGGTGACAGAGATGAGAAAGTCAGTAGCTGCTTGCCCATGAAGCTGGAAGTCTCAGAGCAAGAATGAAAGATGATGCAGCCCCAGTCCAAAGATGAAGCCTTGGGAGCCCTCTGGAAAGTCCTTGGAGCCTGTGGTCAAAGGTCATTCTACTTTTTGCTCTATCCAAGCCCCAGCCTACTGGACAGTGCTGCCGCATTCAACACAGGTCTCCCCCAGTCAGTTTGGTAGTCTGCATGCCTGTCTTCTTTGGAAGCAACTTCATTTGATATCCCCAGAAATATGCTTTACCAGGTTTCTATATGTTTCTCAAAAAAGTCAAGCTGACAATCAAGACTAACCATCATACATAGTTATTTTTATTAACATGGATCATTTTTTCTCATACATTTCTATAGAATACAACCTTGTTTAGCATAGACTACAAATACAATTATGCACTCTTAGGTGGATGCCTAGAGATGTTAATATATTTATGAAAACAGGCTATGAGTCCTTAGTTAGTCTGCACATCTTGGTGAGGAAGCAGTTGTGGACTGGGCAATTGCTGTGAATATTCTTCAGGGTCAAGAAAACACACACACACAGAAAACTAAGAATAATTTAAAATACTATTAACTTCTGCTTTGAATGATGGGAAGCTAGAAGAAAATGGGGATAATGATAGTGTGCATGGTGGAGTAGGAGGCTGGGCATGGGTAAGATAGATGTCTGATGTTCTGATGGATTTGAAGCTGTTTGTGAAGAATCTGTACTGGGCACATTATCCTCAGGGCTCCCCTCAAGTTCTCAATGTGTCAGTGGTGGAAAGGGAGACAGTGGCACACAGGCTTTCCTCCCCCAGACAGACAGTTTCCTCTCGTGCATGTTGGGAATGAGGATACCACATTTCTCTTCTGACATTTCTTGGTTTATTTAGCTTTCACTTCAGCACAGACAGCACAGGTCTAGTGTCTAGTGGGAGGAAGAGAATTAATTAAAGTCTCTTCATGCTGTTTATTCCTCACTTTTCTACAATTTTCACAGTAAGGCCAAGTCATCAAAGAAACCCAGACTTTGCTCAGTGGAGAGCCTGCATGGCGGGGGAGGAGAGAGACTCAAACCTTAGAAGAAAAGTTCTGGAGGGTAGAGCTTTGGAGTGCAAGGATCACTGAGCTGAGCTCCTTACGGAACTTGCCTCTGGGAATAGGGCAAGGGATATCTGTGGGGTGTGTGTTGAGTGGAGGGGGTGTTTATTCAACCAAAAGACATCCTGAGTAGCTCGGCTTTCACTGCATATGTGGACTTGAACAGACTATTCCTTTGTAAAGCTGACAGATCAGATAGATGATAGATAGATAGATAGATAGATAGATAGATAGATAGATAGATAGACATAACTACAAGCTTCCTGGAGGAAAAGGATTGACAGTCTCAAAAGCACTTCATAATTGTGTCTGTATATTTGAGACATTTGTGCTTAAACTGAAGGTAGAAAATATATACAGCTTTATTCTATTGCACAGGATTAGATTTTGTTAAGATTTGTATGCTAAATTATATAAGGTGGGTTCAGATGCAACATTTATTTATTAGCTATATGAACATACGGCATAAAAACATTTTAAATATGATTGTGATGGGCTGCCTGTGTCATCTGCTTTCACCTTTGTAAT